TTTGCTACTTGCAAATAAATTCTAAATTCTTAACATACAACAGTTTTAATTATTTTTTTAAATTTGTGATTATTTTAAAAAGTACTTAATTACAAATGTAAGGATTTTAAGATTCTCAAGTTGGTAAACTAATTAATTAATAGAATCAAGAATCGTTCTGGAATCGGATCGTGACTCCCAGAATTGGAATCTGATCGGATTGTGAGGTGACTAAAGATTCCCCACCCCCCTAATAGAAACATTCACTAACACTGCCAACCACAGTTGCAGAAATAATACAGTGCATGCAAACAGGAAATCTGATAAAACGAAGCTACAGCAATAACCTAGCTGAGTGTGAAGTTTGTTCATTTTACTACTGTGCTGGTACTGTATATAAATGGTTTCATGTTGTGATAAAACCACAACATGCTTCCAGGACCTCTAAAACAAGACGCCTCCAAGGTTCCATATTCACTTCATGTTCCTTCCGATTGAGCCAATCACGTTTACAAGTAGAAAAACAGAAAAGCATGTGTGCAAACCACAATGAAAAGTGCAACATGCTCTTTCTGACAAGCTTTATGAGTTGCTTATTAGAAACAAATGTACTTTTGCTGGAGCGCTCAGGCAATAACGGCCATCACTGTGAAGAGAGTAGCAGCAAATGTGTCTGCTTCAATCAGTGACATCAATCTGTCTTCATATCTCATCATCATCCCATTTCAGAGCCAAATTTAAACAAACTGTAGAACATCATGTTACAAAATCAATTTCATTAAAGCGTTAACCATTTCCTTGGTTTGTGTTTTCACTCGGTGGCTGCTTACTGAAATGTTTGCACAAACTCCATTTTGAAGAACAGCACTAATAGTCTGCAGGCGAATTACATATATGTGACCCTGGACCACAAAACCAGTCTTAAGTTGCTGGGGTATATTTGTAGCAAAAGCCAAAAATACATTGTATGGGTCAAAATTATAGATTTTTCTTTTATGCCAAAAATCATTAGGATATTAAGTAAAGACCATGTTCCATGAAGATATTTTGTAAATTTCCTACCGTAAATATATCAAAATTTAATTGTTGATTAGTAATATGCATTGCTAAGGACTTCATTTGGACAACTTTAAAGGCTATTTTCTCAATATTTAGATTTTTTTGCACCCTCAGATTACAGATATTCAAATAGTTGTATCTCGACCAAATATTGTCCTATCCTAACAAACCATACATCAATGGAAAGCTTATTTATTCAGATGATGTATAAATCTCAATTGTGAAAAATTGACACTTAAGACTGGTTTTATGGTCCAGGGTCACATATTTCAGCAGAAACTGCATTTTTTTTCTGGTACTATATACTAATGACAGTAATCCGCGGTTAACCACAGCTTCTCCATTTCCTTTTTCTAGATGAAACTCCATTCATTTGTCTGAAGCTTCGTTTAAAAGGCATAATGACGTTTTTATGCAGACAGACTGTTTCTGATGCAGCATTCACATATGCAAACACCATAATGCCTCTAAATGTGGAACTGAAATCTTGCAGGAATAACCTACTGGATGAAGACTGTGGATTGACCAATACATCAGTCACTATTCATTTTAATAATTTGTTCATCAATGACGACCAATAACTATATGTTATAGTTATCGGTGTGTGTGTATGCATAATAACTCAAATCAATGTTTTGAGAGAAGTAGCTGTGTAATAAGTGAGAAAGTACATCCAATCGGTTGCTATAGCAAAAAAAAAACAAAAAAAAAACTTTAGGACGATACAGATCTGGTCATCCTGTCGGGGTTTATTCTGTTATAATATAAAAAAATAAAAATAATAAAAAAAATATATATACATATAATAATAATAATATATATATATACACACACACATATATATAACTGGAAGAATATATCATATGATAATATTTATATTTTTTTACTTTAATTATATAAAATAAATATATAAAATATATTGAAATATATTATTAATAATTGAATAAGTTTAAGTATCAAAATATAATTAAATATCCGCCTTTAAAAAAACGTCACTACACTACAAATGAAAAGACAATGAAAAGACACTCTCTGGAGAACATATAAGACACCCTTATGAAGTACATTCAAGGGCAGTTCTCTAAATATCTTGAAAAATATACCATTGTACCTTCAGTACACAAAGGCACCTTTAGTTTTCACAGAGTATTTCCACCTAAAAGTCCACCTAGGCCAAAAGTAGCAGAAGCTTGACTTTCTGTTTATTAGATTCAGCAAAAAATATGTGTGAAATTGCTATACAACAAAGCCCTGCTGCGCAGTACATAATTATGACCTGGTGTGTACACCCTGCAGCTGCCATAATGAAGTCCAAAGAAACGGCGGGGTCTCCAGTCGAAAACAGAATAGGGAGCTTATCGCTGGAACTGGCAGGCTCTCAGCTATAGTTAATGTCATAAAAATGTTATGGTCCGGGAAAACAATGCCTGGCATTTCTGGAGAAATATGCCATGGAACCGTTCCAATAAGTAAACATGGACTTCCTGCAATACTTCCCCAATCTGGCAGGGAATGAGGCCTCCTTCACCAGATGGAATTACAGCCTCCCTCAACTGTTCCTACATAGCAAACACTACAGGCATTAAACACCTGCTCAAACGTCATCTTTCGCAACATAAATCCGCAATTTAACAATGGTAGAATCGGTCTTCATTAGCTTACGATAAACGTGTTTATGTACTGAAAGAAGGAAGCACACTCTCCTCAGGATACCCCACACCTCAGAAATCCCCGTGTACTGTTTTAGGTTTTATAATACAATGTGGATATTCCTTGTTTAAAAACGAAAGTGGCTCTTTAAAGCATACGAAACATGCAATAAACTTTCCAAATAGTGGTAAATAAGGTTATTTTAGTGAATGCCTAGTGCACACAGCTGTTTTGCCATGTGGTTGTGATGTCTCTGCTTCAAGTTACACAGACAGGAAACCACATGTCTGAGATCCTCAGCCGTCCACACAACCAAAGCCAATAGAAAGTCTGCCTGAGACAGCACAGCCCGGTCAGCAACAATGCAGCTGCTTTAGAACGTTACGACAACCTGAGCTCACATACCAGAGCGTGTTACACGCTACGAGCCAGTGCTAAATAGTTAGCATTGTACAGCTTGTGTGTGGGAGATAAACATGTTCTGCTTAGGTTTGATTTATCAGCTCAGTTGAGTGCTGTTTATCTAGTGTGGTGAAGTGTAGCACTATCAAAACCAAAACTAGCTGAAACACAGTTCATTATTTATACACTAACGCAGCGTTTCCATAGTCTATGGAAAACCTCAGAGAGATGTGATGTAGGCTACATCACATGAGAAGCTTCAGAGGTTGCAATGCTCTGGTTTCGCTTACCAATTTGCAGGCCCACACGGAATCTATGACTGCAGAACGCTGCATATTTCCACTGATTTGGAACGTGTGTCATTCATAAAATTCTACAAAACTCCTGAACTTTTCATCAGAGTAATTTATTTATATATTATTATAGCATTTATTAATATTTTGAATTAGCTTTAATTTTTATATTTTCAGAATATTTTTTATATTTTTAATCATTTTATTATGTGCTTTTGTCATTTTTATTCATTTTTTTCATATTTCCATTTAGCATTTAGCTAGTTTTATTTTAGTTGCCTAATTTTAGTACAATTCGTTGCCAGCAGCTCCGGGTGGATGACGTAGGACGTCGGTGTTGCGCATGTGCCGCTCAGAAGTTACGAAAGTGGAAGCGCAGGGGAGAAATCAAAACAAAACAACGGTTATGAATTAGAAGTACAAACCGAGGATTTGTAAAGAAGAATGTCAGAGGATTTCGATATAAGCCAAGAGGAGACTGGTTTTCCTATGTTAAAGTAAGGAAACTTTGCTTCCTTTGCTCCTGTAAACAAACGTTGGTTTTCACGAGACTCACCGGCGCATGCGCAACGCCGACATCTTACACCATCCTCCCGGAGCTGCTTCCGTGTACAACTGTTGGCGCAAGCTAGATTAAAGTGATTATTACGTTTCCGGAGCCGTGTGAGACACTTTTTATTATGGATGGATGCGCTTTATTTCACTTCTTTTGGACTGATGAACTGCAACACCTGCTGACTGCCATTAAACAGCTTGGAAGATCAAATTTTTAATACAAGTCCGATTGGATTCATCTGAAAGAAGGAAGTCATATACGCCTAGGATGGCTTGTGGGTGAGTAAATAATGGGCTAATTTTCATTTTTGGGTGAACTATCCCCTTTAAACTTATATTCTATTTTATTTCAGTTAACAAAAACTGTTTTTAATAGTTTTTTTTTTAGTAAACAATTAAAACACTGCTTGGCATATAAATGGTGTTTGCACCCATTTCATTTTCATAATCGACTGTATTTCAGAATGAAACGTGATGTTCAAAAACATAAAAAAAAGAATTGTAGGGCAGGGCTTGATTTTATCCATCTGGAATTGATTGGATTGTGAAAAGTGGGTGTTACCAGAATGATTGGAAGAGAAAGGGTTTAAAATAATAATTGCAAATAATTTTTTTAGGTCAGTCAATAAAGGAAAGTCATTTTTGAATCAAAGCAGCTATTTTGATGAAAAATTCTAACATGAAATATTTTTAGTTGGAATAAACCTGCCAAATAATTGTGCACAATAAGACAAGAAACATGCATAAAGAAAAGCAAATCGGGTCATGCTGACTTTAAATAATTTCATTATGCTGTCATCTACCAATAAATATATAGTTATCAGCACTTTTAATGTTTTGTCATGTTTAAATCCATTCAGCAGTTTTCCCTTAAAAATCAGCCGAGAAAACATGATTCCGCAGATTCCATCTGGGCCTGTCAGCTGGATCAAACTGAAGTAACCTTGCTCAAGGACACAATGGTTTGAATCTACAAATTTCAGTTACTGTCTTAAAGCATTACTACCAAATAGGGAGGACACACAAAGTTAGAAAGAAGAAGGAATGAAGAGGGAAACTAACGGAGTGTGAACATCAGCATGTCATTACACTCCTCGGCGTTGCAGGAGCAGATGTGGAATGGGCCTCTGTTTGACATCCTCTTTTTCATTTCGCACTTGGTGTTGTTGTAGTTCTCCACCATGATGCCGTAGAGGGGCTCGGAGGGTTTGTGGCACAACGTCTCGATCGTGTTGTTGTTATCACTCTTCCTCCTGATGTCATCGAGAGGACACAAGTATAACCACATACACTGTGATTACAGGGATTATGATATCAAATGACAGTTGTTTTGTCAATATAAAAAACAATTCAATTGTTATTTTACATTCTCCGTTGACTTTGACAATAAAAAAATAAACGGCATGTCCCTTTGTTGCTATATCAGTAAACATAATAAGCACTTACAAGATACAGCAATGACTTGTTGCTAAATTTAACTGCGCTTTTTCCATAATTGAAGACAACATGAAATTACATCATTTTCATTTCAGAGCAAAACTTGATAGTATTTACTGGTATTTAATTGGATTATGAAGTGTTAGACCTTTGGATAATATTATTTCTTCTCCTCACCACTTGGCCTTGCTTATGTAAGCAGAAAAGAAAAGTTCTCTCAGAAGTGCTGAAAGTTCTCACATTTTGATTAAAACTACCACTTTTTTCTTTAGAACAATATGTACTGAGACAAAGCATATTTATTAAGGGCCCATTTTGATTTCGTGTCATTTTTTAAAAATATGATAATGATACTGCAAGCTGCGAACAAGATTCATTGGTGATTTTTGACTGTTGTGCAAAGCAGATGTTTTACACTTGCATACAACAGATGTTTTACACTTCATAAAAAGTTGTGGAAGAATATGACTTGAACAGTGACATACCAGATAGCCACACAGATTTCATCAGCATCGGCGCAGATGGATGTGATGCTGCAGTTGCTTTCACAGGTGCCGGTGCCTTTACAGTTGGACGCCTCCACGTCACAGAACTTACACAGTTGAGGAAGCCGAATTGGATTATATAAAGGATGCATTCCATCTAGGATAAAACAGAAACAAGGTCACCTATTAAAACAATTTACCCTTTTATTCAACATTTCTGATCCAATGTTGCATCTACTGCCCTTGAGTAGTGTCCTAAGGGACCATAAAAGAGTGCGAGATGAAATGCTGGCTGCTTCTGTTATCAGATATACACTCTGCTCGCTCTTTTATCTGCTTTTCAATGCCCTGTTTGAACGTGCCTTCGTCTCCAGCTCCCTTGTCAGGTTCCTAAGACTCTGACCTAAATGCACTGATGCGATCAAGCAAACACCAGTACAGAGAGACCAAACGGCGTCAAACTCCTGTCTCTGATAGTACAGACTGACATCAGGACCTCAGATCAGTGGAAAAGCTATACTACTGCCACTGGTTTAGTCTGTAAATCTAGACACCCAAAATGTGAGTTTAAGAACACACAAGGGGTTACTAGTTTGGTGTTGCATGAGTCATTTCTACGCGTGTATGGTTTTTCAATTTCAGCGAGTCTGTATTTGGCCAATCCATAAGAAGTCGTTAAACTGTATTACGTAATTTGTTAGTTTAGCTGCTCTTTGGAGTACCACACACCTCCTAGACTTTCCTGTGATAAAAGGCCACCTTGGCTCTCTGGGACTGAAAGGGGCACCGGTCATTCAAACACTCTGAAAGACTTAGAAGTCAAACCCAGAGCAAAGCTCAAATAATATTTAAACACATTAATCACATTGCAAACTAATTAAAAGTGCACAGTACTGTTTTACTGCTCTAATGGAAAGATTTAAGGGGGCTCATTGAGAAAAAAGTGCATTCACAACAGTGTTGTTATTGTTAACTAAAACTTAAAAAAAAAAGTTTTTGTTAACTGAAATAAAAAAAAGAAGATAAAATATGCAAAATACATGAAAAACAGAAATTGCTCAAGTTAAGTTAAAGTTGAAGTATCAGAATTACTAAAACTTAAAAATAAAGCTAAACGGAAACATTAAAAATATAAAACTGACAAAAGCCCATCAAATTACTAAAAATAAACTGGAAACTGAAAATATGAAAATAAAAACTAATTAAAAATATAAATAAATACTATAACAATAAATAATACTAAAATAAAACTTATTCACACAGCGATTACACTATATATCAGTAGAATATCTAGTTTTATTTATCATATAAGTCAGTATTGCATATTTAATTCTGCATGCATTACCCTTTTTTAACTTTAGATGACCTTTTCCATCACCTAACACTCACTTAATCAACAAAAACACGTCATTTAACTGTAAAGTTCATTTTTAACAAAATGGTCATCTAGGCCTATGTTTCATACTGTAAACTATAATGTTGTGATGTCTATTCACTTGTAGCATTTAAATGATGTATTTTAGTTTTTAGAGTTTTCTTTGTCATTTATTTTCAAATTAAATAGTATATGATTTTTAAATCAGACATACCATGAAAATAATGATCAGCTTATCTGTATCAGGCTAAATTTAATATTATTGCATCCCTAGTTTGAATTGCTGGAAAGCATCCAATTGAGATGTGAACTCCACTCTCTGCTCTCCCATTGGTTGTTGCCATATTTACATTTAAAGTTTGACTCCTCTTCAATGGTCTGTTGTCATTAATGTTGCCTCAAATTTCCAACTTTCATTGAAAATTAATGATATCACTTACAAATCACTGTCAGTGTGAACGCCTCTTAAGATTGAAACCGGAGTCACTTGCAATTCAGTCCAGCAGCACTAATTCCACATGTTCATGTCTCAATGATGAGAATCGCTTCTGATACAGAATAGGCAGTACCATAACATGCTAGAGAGACAATCACAAGACCTCTGACCACCATTTCCCCCAAAGGACGGAACAGGTGACCCGACCAATGAAGGAAGCACAGATAGTGCGGATGTGTGGCTTTCCTTCCACAGACAGAATAACAACCAACACACTTCTACTGAAGAAACAACCAACCAATCACTACAAAAGCTCATCTCTGCAAATATTCAGCGTTGGTTAAAGGTCATCACAGTTTTGTAGCATAATAGGTTTGTTTTGACTGCATACTGCAAATAAAACCCACAAACACGATACCATCTTGTCTTAAGATCAATATACTGTCATTTTTTGGCTGCTTTAGCTCTGTTTTTCGAGCTGAGCAGATAAGCAAGACTATGTGCCCTTTTAGTCTCTGGTTCACTGGAGTGAGCCAAGAGGGGATTGTGTCGGACACGAGGATACGAAGACAAATACGGTCAAATCAGATGCAGCCATTTTGAGGTTATGTGCCCCCTCTTCTCATCCCGAGATAGCTATTTTTGAGTTCTTGGCGCAGAGGCCCAGAGAGGCTTCGGTAAACATAAGCTCAGATTCACAACCTTCATCCACTAGCCTGGGTCTCACATGGCTTCAAGGGCCTACAAAGGAGCTTTTTTACTCCGTAAGCACTGCTCACTGACTTTTTATCTACGGCCCGGCCTGACTGGATAACATTATATACTGCAGAGCCATTACCTCACACTATTTCGGTTGGACAGTATTCACAAAATTATTACATTTGAACCTGAAGGATGTTTTTCTTTTTAAAGTTACCATCTACCACCCTTTTGGAGAGTACCCCAGAATGTAATCAACGTAAATTAGTGCATGCTGAACGTAAACAACACTGAATTACGTTGATTACGTTCTGGGGTACTCTCCAAAATGGCAGAAGACGGTAATGTGGGGAGAAGAACTACTGAATAAATTATGTTATTATAGTTTTCTTTGCACACAAAAAGTATTCTCGTAGGTTCGTAAAATTACGGTTGAATCACTGATGTCACATGGACTATTTTACCGATGTCCTTGCTACGTTTCTGGACCTTGGAACATTGCAGTTGCATTGCTGTCTACGGAGGGTCAGAGAACTCTCAGATTTTATAAAAAATATCTTAATTTGTGTTCCGAAGATGAACGAAGGTCTTACGGGTTTGGAACGACATAAGGGTGAGTAATTAATGGCAGAATTTTCATTTTTGGTTGAACTAACCCTTTAACTTAAAATATGTGATTCTTCTTCAGAGGGCCAAATGGAAATTACTTACACAAGTCTGGTGCATAAATGGTTTTCAGATCTTTTTCTAACGTCGTTTAAAGACTGCACACTCCAGATAAGCAGAAAGGGCTCAGGCAGTCCCCAAAAGGGTGTCTAGAGTGGACTCAATTTTAATGATACATCTGATAAGGTACTTCAAAAATAACTGTACAAAAGGCAAATGTAAAATTTTGGACAATCTGAGCACAATTAGTTGCACTTTAAAATTTCCCTTTTTAAACTTGACAGCAGAGTGACTCAACAACAACAAAAAGTGTGAGTTTAAGTGAATGACTCAAGACAGGATGAGCTCAAAATGACCTATGTGGGCAGATGAGAAATAAAAGTAACATACTAAGTAAAGACACCAACAGGAAGGCAAGTGTCGTACCTGCATACAGGGGCGTCTGCATGGCCGGACTTACCATTGGGCTTGAATGGGCTGCAGCCCAGGGGCCCCGCCTTGTAGGGGGCCCCGCCTTAACCCGTTTACATTTGTTTACATTTGTACATTTGTGCCAGTCAGAAATTATTAGCTGCATTTCAACTGCGCACACGGGCCAGCCGGGGCTAACAACTTCCAGCTACAACATTCATAGCCATAATCAAACAGCATAAACTGGAATTTATGATTTTTTTTTCACATAAAAAAAGGACACACGTATTAAATCACGTCTGCGCGGCATCGAATCGCCGATTAATTTGTGATCACATGGCTACTTTAAACGGTTCCATTAAGCCTTTAGCCCAAAAGAGCGCACATTTACAAAGATAATGATAAATTCTCACGTTCACGCCTCACTTCTTTACGGAGGATGATTCTATATTATATTAATGTTCCACTAAATTAATCTGAAGAGTTTTGAGCACTTTCTCCCGTCCAAAGAGTATAGAATAGCCTACCCTAATATCTTACAGGGACTTTGTCCCGTCTCACTTCCTCCACACGAAGTGGAGCAGAAATGTTATCAAAACGATAAAAAAAAATTAAAATAGCCATTTACAGGGTTCGTACGGTCATAAAAAACCCAGAAAGCTTTGGAAAAGTCGTGGAAATTTATTTTACACATCTCTATATAAGTAAATTCCCGCAAACATTTATTTAATATACAATGTAGGTTAGATGAGTTAAAAAAATTCACACAGAATATCATATTAAGTCAGTCATTTGAAAACAGCGTGTGTGGTTCAGCTGTACCGCGTCTTCTGGCTCTCGCTCTCTCAAAATTGAC